GTCACTCTGTGCTTGGGAGATAGCTGCAGCAATTCACGTGTGTGTGCTTTAGGAGGTCAGTTCTGCAGGTTTCTGTGCTGTGACCATGTGCTGATAATTACACTTGGACTTCACATATCATGTTAATGAATGAAACACAATAATATGGTTAGGAAATTATAACAAGATTATGTTCAGGATATTAACTCTCTGCATGGTCACCATATGTCTTTGGCCACTCATGTGGCTTATGAGACTCAGTGATTTATGGCTCTTAACTGAAGACCTGGGCATAATCTTGTGAATTTTTTTTCATGATTCATTCAGCCTAGGAAATTGGCAGGGAGCATGTCTAGGAATGTGAATTTTAGACATTATATTATTAGTAGAAGTGTCACAGTTATTTTTTTCGTCCTAGTAAAGATATGGTATTTTACATAGGATAAAAAACTAGAGAAGTTTTTTGGAGGGAGGTGTGTGGGGATTTCTTTTAGCATTTACCAAAATAGTCATTACCTTTAGGTTTTCTGTGCATAAGACACAGCAATCGGTCACAAGCCTTGCCCTCAAGAGCCGTCTGTCTCTGGAGTAGCTGAGCATACCCCCGTGCAGGGATGTTTGTGCTCAGTGTAATGCACATGCTTGTGGGCAAGGGGCAGAGGTCGTACTCAGTTCTCTTCCCTCTTTATTAGTTAGTTAACTTAGGAAGTATTGGCTTTTTTGCCATTAATGCTGGGGCTAAAGGAAGAAGACGAGAAATATGTGAACACAGAACATTTTGTTTGTGGAGCTGGAGGGCCTGGGATGTAAGGACAGTGGCGAGAGTTGTCTGCCCTGAGCTCCATTGCTGGTCCCTCCCCTCCTCTCCGTCCCTTTGCATCATTTTACTTAAGTGTCTGCAAGGTAAGCCTTGATGCCACCCTAGATGCTACGCTCATAAGTGTGGTGACACGAGCAGTGGAAGCACTGAGGGTCCAGAGAATGGAAGAAACATCTCTGGTCATCCTCCCTGCCTAGGACCCTGTCTTATTTATCTTTCTGTCTCTGGTGGCACACAGTATTCAGGAGTGTTTACTGGATTAAGTAAATAGGTCTCAAAGCTAAGGATCTATACTGAGCCCTACTCCAGTCTCTAGACTTGCCATTGTATTTGGGTGTAAATGTTACTATACATTGTTTGGGATAGAAAAAGCCAAAGTGTGTTCCCAACCTCTGACCAGAAGAGACTCTGAATTACTCTGCACCAAGGATGTTGGCTGCTGCAGTGCCTGCTGTCCTGTGTGTGGGCTGAGGTGGCTTGCATAGGCACTGTAGGGCAGATCGGGATTGACCGTTTGGGCCTTGGAAAAAGTTTGGTCCTTTATAACCAGTGGCCCGCTACTTCACTCATCTGCTGGTGGATTTTAGGCAAAAATGAAATTTTAATATACTGCTCTAAACTTAGTATTTAGCTTGTCTGCTGTGGTATCCTTCTTTCTCTCATTTTTTATTTTATTTTTTTAGAGACAGAGTCTCACTTTGTCGCCCTCAGTAGAGTGCTGTAGCATCACAGGTCACAGCAACCTCCAGCTCTTGGGCTTAGGTGATTCTTTTGCCTCAGCCTCCCAAGTAGCTGAAACTACAGGCGTCCACCACAATGCCCAGCTATTTTTTTTGTAGCAGTTTGGCTGGGGCTGGGTTTGAACCTGCCACTCTCCATATATGGGGCTGGGGCCTTACTCACTGAGCCACAGGTGCCCCCCTCTCATTTTTTAAACCCAAAAGTTTTATAGGACATCTACTCTGTATCAGGTATTGGCCAGCCACTGAGAATATGAAGGTAAAGTCATTTTGCTCACAGTCCAATGTAGGAAATATAGAATTGTAAATCCAGAAAAGAAGATACCCTCATGTACTGTAGGAGAATTATGTACAAAGTGCTAGTGGAAACCAAAGGTAAATGATGTTTTCTGCTAGGAACAGTGAAGCAGGAACGTTTTACCATTTTGGTTTTAGTTGTAAATGAGCGTATGAATTAGGAGTTACATGGAGTTAGGAATTAGAATAGATGGCATGGAGTGAGGGGAGGGAGGTCCAAGGCCCAGAAGCTCTTCAGGGCCTAGACCTGACGGGCTTTCCTGGTGGCCGTGCATGCCAAGGATCTTGCATCGTCCTCAAGGATCAGAAGTTTTCAAACCGTTACGCAGAAAACTGGAACTGTTGGGACGAGGACTGATGAGACACAAGACTCAGGCTCTCTTCAGTCTCAGCGGCTCCACGCATAAACACAAAACAAAACATGCTTTTTAAAGGAATATGCTATAGGAAGCTATTGAAGATTTTATTAGATTTGTACTTTTTTTAAGTAATAAATCTTAAGCCAGTGGTTGTTTTGGGGGGCATGTGGTCTTTCATTAGGTTATCTACTTGGTTTGGTTTTTACTTACCACGTCCCACCTTCTGACAATTTACTAGTTCTAAGTCTCCACTATCATCTGATTCAAGGTGATTTGTATAGCTCCGATTTTGAATGAAGAGAAGTCTGATTGGTTGCTGGTCAGACAAATGATTGGCTTCCACAGAGTCAGGTATTCACCTCCTGTCATTTTGGATCCAGTATATAAGTAGATCTCTTCCAGGAGTTGTGGTTGGGAGTAGTTCCTTAAGACAAAGATATAGGTTAGATTAGGCTGGTGCTCATGTCTTTGGCAGGAATCACTCTTGCCCTTGGGTATTCTTCAAAATGATCCGCGTGTGTGTGTGTGTTTGTATGTGTATGATTTTTTTTTTCCCAGATGGAAGTTTAAGGGAAGATTAACTTCATTAATTTCTTTTAGAGAGAGAATCTTTCACTTGTCATTCTACTTTCCTGGTTTATTAGAACTTTCTAACCATGTACATGTTTTTAAAGCCTGTCAATAATGACTTTCTGGGAAATGAAATTAATGGACTTTTTTACATGCTTCTCTAATAGAGAGGGGAAAAAACATGTAAATTTTAAAAAGTAGGTAAATAAGAAGCTGCCATTGCCTTTCTTTTTTTTTTTTTTTTTTTTTGGCTGAGGCTGGATTTGAACGCGCCACCTCCGGCATATGGGGCCAGCGCCCTACCCCTTTGAGCCACAGGCACCACCCATCCATTACCTTTCTTTTCTTTTGAGCCAGGATATAAAGGCTAGCTTTTCTGTGTAATTTTGGGCACATTTAGCACTTCTGATTTGTTTAGTAAGGTGAAAGTTACAGCTTTAAGAAAGAATTTATAAGAGAACAATTGAGGTTTTCACAGAATAACAGCGTTTTACATGACTTAAGAACTTGACTCAAAAGAGACAGTACCAGCCTGTACCATTGGATGGCTCAAGGTACCACAAAAAATTAGCATATTTTAGTCCACCATTCCTTAGTTTGTTTGGTCTTGATTTTTGTGGAAAAAACGGCCCATATTCTAGTCATCTAAGTGTATGGCCTGAGATCAATTTTTGGCTTCTTATATTTTCTATGCTCTCTAAGACATACAGTATCAAGTTTTGAGCTTTGTACAAATCCATGAAGTCAAACACACAAGGTGATAGTGTATACAGTATACCAGTTTCACGGGCTAATGCCTTCAGTTGCTTGTAAAATGGGCGTGTTTTATGCAGTGTCCTTCTTGGCGGGTCATTTTGGTGCTTGGAAGGCACAGGTTCTTTCTTCTCTCATGAGACATCACATTGGAAAGTGCTACATTATGATTTGAGATTTAAAATTAGTGTTATAGTGGATGTTTTTGTAATTTTAAGTAATTAATTTTGAGCGGGTACCTTTTATAAGTATTGCTTAATACTTTGAAATCATAAAAAAAAAAAGAAATCATAATGTATCCTAGCCCAACTCTGGATTTTTTATAGTGGGATGAGACAGTGGCTTTCTTCACAGGTATCAGTTCTGTTTCTTTGGAGATTCACGTATATGAACTAGGTGTTTTGGCTGTAAATTATGACTATATGGGTTTGTTTTTTTTTTTAAGCAGTTGATTTGATTTTTTCCCCTCCTCCTAATCTTTAGTTAAAGCCTGCCATCTTGTGGTTTTAAGAAAAATAGGATTTAAGAAACATTAGTGTAATAGGACTGTTGAACTTTTATATATATAGTTGATTTATGATACTAAGAGGAGTAAAAAAGTGAATACTGTTAAATCTTCTCTTTGTAGTTGCTTATTATTTGGCCAGTTTTTGTTTTATTTTAATTTCATAAGATTATTTCACAGTTTTTATTAACTAACAATTCTTTTTAAAGCCGTCTTCCAATATCAGTAGAAGTACTCTACTGCAATGGCTGTTTTAATTAAGAAAAGTTACTGAGAATTTTCATATTATTAGGTCTTTTCTTGTATAACTGATGATAACAGAATTATGTTGACTAGAAAAACACTGTCCTTTATAAAAGGTTATATTCTACTGTACAGAATATATCCTTTAATTTTAGAAGTCTATTTCATAAAAGTGATATTTAGACAAAAAGAAACCTCAAATTGAACCTTAGGGGGTTTTGTAGCTAATTGTATAAACTGAAATAATTAATTTTTCTGCAGAATATTCAGGAGGCCCTTATTTGTTGTTGGGAAAATCTGAAATCACCCCATATAGAAATGAAGGTATTTGTGGGTCAGTTTGTTCTTATTAATATCAAAAACGTTTCAGTATGATATATTATTAAGTTATAAAATCATTAAAATATTTTCATTCTTACTTAATCTCATTTCATACCTTAAGTCTCCTGTGTATCTTGGTTTATGATATGCATTATATTTAAAAGTAATAAATTTTAATTTCTTCCCAAATATCTTTTCTTAGCTTACCTCCTTGGCCTGGAGTCATAAGTGTGACATTGAAAGAGAATGTTGTTCCCCAACAAAAACTCTAACTCTAAATTGTAACTCCAATTTAGTACCTGATGGCAGCCCTATTTAAACAGCTTGTTTTGCTTCTCCCCTAAGCAGGGAGAGAGAAGACCTCAAGTCCAGGGTATAATTTGATGCCTTGTGCTTTTTCGAATGTATTACAGTTACGCTAAGAAAGAATCTGATCTTAATGGAGCCCAGATCAAGCTTCGAGAATATGAAGCAGCACTGAATTCCAAAGATGCAGCTCTTGCTACTGCACTTGGTGACAAAAAAAGTTTGGAGGGAGATTTGGAGGATCTGAAGGATCAGATTGCCCAGGTAAGATCAACTCTGTCCTTGAACCTACCTGGTAGGTTAATTGCCCCATCTGTCTTAAGCCAGAGTTTGTACTTTTGAAATTTTATTTGATTTTTTAACTTTTTTGGGTGCTTATTATCAGTATTGTTATTTGTTTTGGGGGATTCATTGAGGGAAATTTTTTTTTTTAATTCTTTCCTTTTTGGGGGTCTCTAACATACAAAGCATCGTCCCCTCACTCGTTGCAGCTGGATTATGCAGACCTAGGTAGGCACTGCCCTTCTTCCTTGCTCATTTTGTCCTTTCTTCTCAAAGCCCATTTCATTAGTGCACCGAAATAGGAAATAGGTAGGAAAAGAGATGCTATAATGTTGCTCTGCACACAGGAGGAGATGGAAGTGGCCCCTAAAAGAACTGGTTCGATTTTGGAAATGGGAGTGATAGATAGGTCTGTTCTCTTTCCTGCCACCCATTACCAATTTGACAGGTTATTTGGTTCTGTGATAAACATTAAGACCAAGTAATCAGACCTTGATAAATGTATAGAATTGTAACACTTGATTTTATTGGAGTCATAGGTATCTGAAATTTATTACTAATTGATTGCCATGTAATTTTTGTCATATTTTTTCCTTTGTAATAGTTGGAAGCCTCCTTAGCTGCTGCCAAAAAACAGTTAGCAGATGAAACTTTACTTAAAGTGGATTTGGAGAACCGTTGTCAGAGCCTTACTGAGGACTTAGAATTTCGTAAAAATATGTATGAAGAGGTAACTATGTATAATTTTACTTTTTAAAGGAATGAACGGGTGGTTCTAGAAAAGGCTTCATGATAGCTATATATGTAATTAATATATATATATATAAAGTATAATTTCCATTTTATTTTTTCCCAAAGGATAGTTATTCTTCAGTCCTCAAGAACTCACCTCCTTACATGGGCTTTGGTGGAGGTCGTGGGGCAGCACCCGCGGGTCTAAATCTGGGTGGAGGTGTTCGGTCCTTGCAGGCTTCCCAGGAGTGGTTCCTGACTACCTCGCTGTGACTAGCAAAACTCACACAGTAATGTAGCTTCACATAGAGCTTGGAAAGCACATAGGTGTGGAAGACGCTTAGATGCTTCAGAAATGTCTCATATAGCTGCGGCTTCCACTACGTTCCAAGTGACGAACTTCTTTATAGCTTTGTCTTTGGGAATGCATCGGGCACAGTTTGTGCACCGAATAAATAGGTTGCACATGGCCACAGCCCTTTTTGGCACGACCATTGTTCCTTCTTTTCTTTGTCATCTTTGAAGCAAGGATGCGAAAGAGCTGTAATTAATATTTTACTTGTGATTTCTTTCCCACAAAAGTGTATCAGATAAGGAGACAATGTAATGTTTGGGAATGGGGAGACATTTTATAGGTAGATTATTCAAGGTACTGCTTGATGCTAAAAAGCTGCATCTAAGAACTCAAGCCGTAATTATAAACAGAGATATGATCAGATATTTTCACCTGACTTACAAGGCATGGCCACAGCAGCTAATTACTATCAACATGCTTGAGCATTTCTATTACTTATCTATTGCTGTGTAATACATTACTCCAAAATTTAGCAACCTGATATCACAGAACTTTATTATCCCTAGTTTCTGAAGGTCAGGAACCTGAGAGCTGCTTAGCAGTGTGGTTCTGCTTCCAGGTCTCAGGACGTTGCAGTCAAGCTTTTAACCTGGCTGGAGGAGCAGCTTCTGAGCCCATTCAGGGAACTATTGGTAGGAAGTGTTATTTCCTCACCCCAGTGTCTCCTTCATAGGGCTGCTCGTGATATGGTTCCCCGCCAAGAGCAAGTGCAGAGAGAGAGTGACTGAGACAGTAGTCATGTTAAAGCCTATCGTAGAGCTTGTAGGTGTATGCCATCACTCTGCTTTCTCCTATGGGTCATACAGAGCGAGGTGATGAACTATGGGAGTGGATTAGAGTACAGAGGGGCAGCAACCATTTAGGGCCATCTGGAAGTCTGGCTCCTCAGCACTTACAGGTGTACGTGTAAATTTTTAAATAGCATATTTATAAGCCTCAACTACTGTAGTCAAGGGGGCAGTGGCACAACTGTTGCCAGACAGAAATCATAAAATTGAAGAAAGCAGCATGTGTATATTGTGGAAATTGAAGAGGGTTGGAATTAACCCAAGCTGTAATGTTGTGGTTAATGTTTTCATAAGTAGGATCATTTTGAAAACAGTAACTAACAGTGGTTTTAAAATAAGAATTATTTCAATTAAGACACCTTTTAATTGGAGGAAAAGTAATTTAACAGAAGTCTGATCACTTTTATAGCAGTGCTTTGACCCAGCTGTTGGGGCATCATGCTTGGGTAAGCAGTCAGACCTTCTTTAGTCACTTTCTTATTTAAAATAAAATATACTGCTATGTTCCTGCAAGACATGGTGAGGATCAAAGTGGAATATGTATGAAAACTCTTTGTATATTCTGTATACTACCAAAGTGTTGTCTTACAAAATTGTTATTAAGTACTGCTTTATAAAGCAGATATTTTTATACGAAGTTGACTCCTATTTTTGTTGTGTTAAAATTCTTCCTTATCTATTATTACTTAATTTTAGTTTTGTCCGTAGACAACCAGGAGTGTGGCATTTTTTTCTTTGTAAGGTCACTGGTTCTGTGTAAAATAATAAATGAGAAATGGCATCAGTAAAAAGTAACTTAATATTTTTAGAGCATGTGGGCAGCATCTTTGAATTTTGAGTTTTACCTTTCGAGAATGGATTTTAAAATATTTCCCTTAAGGTTTTTTTTTTAAAAATACATTGAGGATGTACTCTCCTCAGTAAATACAGAGGATGCCCAATATATATATATACACATTTTAAAGAAAGGGAAAATTGTAATATTCAAGTCATGTTTGACTTCTGTAATTACAAGAGGTGCTCGCTCATTGTGGCTTGTGTTCATCTTTTATTATCGGTGTAAGTCGCATTGAGCACCTTTTGTAATTGCAGAAGTTAACCATGACTTGAGTATTACACTTTTAACAGTTTTTCTTTTCTTAAAATGTGTATACGTTTTTTTGGCATCCTCTGTGTAACTAACTGCCTTACTAGGAATGGTTAAGGAGGAGAGAAAAAGGAAGCAGAGAAAGATGGATGGAGAAAGGGCAAACTATTAGTAGGAGCTCAGTCTTTGTTGAATTAAACCTTTTGTATTTTTGTGGTTTTAGTTGTTTGCATCCTGGAATAGGTGTGAGCCCTAGGAGGCTGATAGCAGTACTGGAATTTGAACCCTGGTTTTCTGATTCTTCCTGGTGCATCTTGCGCAATAGTTAAGTTGAGGAAATGCACAGAAAAATTCATATACTCAAATACACAAACAGCAACCTCAGTGAGTTATATCTCCCTCTTGTGGCTTCTTCAGTTACTGTCATTAAAGACAGATCTGTTGTATTTTCATAGCTAAAAGTTTGTTCTTAGCTATATTCTCCATTCCAGTTTTAGACAGTTCCTTGAAACAGTAGAAGATCTTAACTACTGTTTCTATTCTTTAATAGTGAATTTGTCACATGTACTTGTGTTAGTCAAGTAGTATTGGTGATAAGATCCTATGTCACTTGATATTGACAGTCTTAAGCTGTCGCCCCGGGTAGAGTGCTGTGCTGTCACAGCTCACAGCAACCTCCAACTCATGGGCTTAAGCAATTCTTCTACCTCAGCCACCCAAATAGCTGGGACTACAGGCACCTGCCGCAGCGCCCGGCTATTTTTTGGTTGTGGTTGTCATTGTTGTTTGGCAGGCCTGCGCTGAATTTGAACTCGCTAGCTCCAGTGTATGTGGCTGGCACCTTAGCTGAGCTACAGGTGCTGCCTTAATACCAGTTTTTAAAAGAAGTCATGTAAATTAGCTTGCCCTGTCTATTAATATGTCTTAGAAAATAGTTTGTATGTAAATCTTCATTTGAATTTGTCCTGACTATTAAGTTTAACTTCCCATGTGTGTTTTTCTTCAGAGGTGTCCTTACCAGTTATCTTACCAGTGAAACTATTCAGAAAAATAATTAGTTTAGTGTTTAGTATGCTTAACTATTTACTCATCTATAATTTTCAGTACTTTAGTAAATCATCCAGGCCATTCCTTGCTTTCAAAGAAATAAAGAGTTACATTTCTGAGAAGAAAGATCAAATTCCTAGGGCTTGAAATGCTACCGTTTTTCTCATTAGTTCCATCTGAAAAATTGTATCAAATGAAAACTAAGAGCAAAAAAGTATCTGTTCATATGTCTGCCCTAGAACAAAGATGAGTTCAGGTGTAAAATGTCAGGTGGCCCCGATGTCACATAGACTTGTACTGGCACAACCTTGGAAGTGACTTGACTTTATGTCTTGCCTTTTTTTATTCCCCCAGGAGATTAATGAAACCAGAAGGAAGCATGAAACGCGCTTGGTAGAGGTGGATTCTGGGCGTCAGATTGAGTACGAGTACAAGCTGGCTCAGGCTCTTCATGAGATGAGGGAGCAACACGATGCCCAAGTGAGGCTGTACAAGGAAGAGCTGGAGCAGACCTACCATGCCAAAGTGAGCACTCCCTTTGCAGGACTCGGGCACTCAGAATTAGTGCTTCACAGTCACCGGGAAGAGCATGACTTGACGTTTGCCTTCTCATTTTCTTAAATAATTCCCCTTGCCTTCATGAATATGTGGAAAATAGATTTTTCTTGGAAGTAGAGCTTTTTATAAACTAGGTATTATAAAAATGATTAGAAGAAAGTATGCTTATTCCAGTTTTATTAGAGGTAAGCGCTTATCTTTCTGTCCCCTTGGTCATTCGTGTCCCGTTATAGTAGTCAAACCCAAGCACCCAGATGCTCTCCTTCCAGTAACAGGTATGGTGATGCTGTTCTCCACATCCAGCTAGCAGCAAATTGAATGTCAGGCTGCTTCTAGTTTTGACCTCATGTCACCATTGTACATAGATTGTGACCACCACAGCAAGGCCAAATGGAAAATCCCTGTATTTCTTCCTCTGTTAACTATTATTTATTTTAAAAAATGTTGTAGAAACTTCCCACTTATATTAACAGACCATGCAAAAATATATAAAATCATCACTTAGTATAGGCTTGTGTGGCAAATGATTTTTTACCCCATCCATGTGTTAAATATTATATGATTCGATTGAAAAGAGTTACTAATACAGACCTAGGAGATTAGCGTCATGTTATTGTGTGGTCTTAAACTACTTATGTTACTTTTTATCCATTTCATGAAGCTGTAATTGCTAGTGTAAGTGAGAGATCTTATACACAGTACATCAGTTGTCTAACACGCATTCGGTGCGAAGCATCGAGCTAGAAGAGCTAGACAGTGAAGGAGCTCAAGTTAGGATCAGTCAGTCACACACAGGCCCCAGAGGGGACCAGGGAGGGGACATACACACGTGTTCCAGACACACACACAATACAGCATCAGGGCCATTTGGAGGAACCGCACATTGTTTTTACCTGAGGGGCTGTTTTTGCTTCTGAAAGAAAGTGTTTCTATCTGGTTTGAAATTATCTATAAGTTTGTATTTTCTGCTTTTATTGCTTTATATCCTTTATTGGATTTTTTGGGTTAAGGATATGGGACGTTCATATTCCTACAAACATCACCATAGTTAAGTTGCTGTTTGTTTTGTGGCCCAGGCTTAATAGAAGTGTTATGTTAGGTATTAAAGTATTAATGGATAAAATGTTAAAGTAATAAGCTTGGGATAAAGACCCAGGCATATTAGCATTATCACAACTCATTTTAGGAAGTGAGTCTTCAAGTCAAGTAGACTTGAGGTCATTCAGACCATGTCCACACACTTCATGATGCTTTTCCTGTGTTGCATCAACCACTTACCAGCAGGGCTTATGTTTCAAATACCTGTAGGTGAATCATGCTTCCTTATTTGTTAGTTCTAATTGACGAGACTCTAGACGAGACTATGATTTGCTGTTTCTTTTAGCTTGAGAATGCCAGACTGTCCTCAGAGATGAATACTTCTACTGTCAACAGTGCCAGGGAAGAACTGATGGAAAGTCGTATGAGAATTGAGAGCCTTTCATCTCAGCTTTCTAATCTACAGAAAGAGGTAAGCATCTTTGCCTGAGAAGGTGAACTTGAAGGTCCCACAACCACGAGAGTCTCCCTGCTCTGTTCTTCCTAATGTCACTGTTCTGTTTGTGACAGATAAGAGCATAATATGCTCTT